GTGCGTGGGTGGGTGGGTGGGTGTGTGTGTGTGTGTGTGTCTGTGTGTGTGTGTGTGTCTGTGTGTGTGTTTGTGTGTGTTTGTGTGTGTGTGTTTGCGTGTCTTTGTGTGCTTGTGTGTGTGTGTGTTTGTGTGTGTGTCTAGCCCCGTTTGTTTGCCATTAGTGAAAGCCAACACGAAGCATTGGAAGCCGTGCATCCAGCAGCACAGAAAGTGTCACCACACGCAGGGGACTGAGAGGACACAAAGCTGAAGAACAGGCCTGGACAAAGATCACTTGCTGCAAACTTCTCGATCATTTGCCGCTGGGAAAACTGCCCAGGCGCTCTGCAGATCCAGTCCCGGATCCAGGCAGCTGCTGTGTTGCAAGGACGCCTGGCAAGATGGCTGAGCAACTCGACAAGCGTGGGGGACACGAGGGCATCGGAAGACGAATTCGAGGTATCCAAGGCAAGGACAGCTGGCCAGCCTTGAACTGGAGTCATCAAAGAACTTCCTTTGGGGGACTAACAACTGAAACGACTACAGAGGCACCAACGGCCCTCAATCCCAAGAGAAAGTTCCCGGTTCTGACCGGAATGGCCTTAAAAAGTTCAGCTGCCAAGCTCATGTCCTCAATGCTCAGCATTGAGTGGGGCGCTGCAGGATGCCAATCCTGCACATGCAAAGGAGGCAACAAGCTCGAGAAGACAACTTAAGTGACAACTTAATACAGAACTTCTTTCGGATGGGCTGTCGAAAACCTGTGTAAATACAGCAGTGTGTCACACCTGAGAAATCGGCATCTTTTCCGAGGCTAGCTTATGGCTTACCAGAAATATCAATACAACCCAACTGGACGATTGTGGGATACAAGGGCATTCGCTTCATCAATTCAGCCCCAAGCTGCTGTTTCTCAAAACAGACATGCTGCGTGCCTACCAATACCAAAAAATGCACGCAAAGTCAGAAGGTTAAATGCTAAGGGCTTGTTCTTTGACAATGTCAAAGGCGCCAGGCGCCAGCGATTCTGAAGGACCCTGCTGAACAAAACAGAAGCATGTGTTGTTCACGAAAAGCCGCTGCTTGATCACTCTCATCTCAAGCCATCAACATCAGAATCTTCACACCCAAGCAAAATCCTCTTGGGTCGCTGCATGCTGCGCCCTTCTGTGTGCCAGCATCCCTGTCTCCTCTCGGTAAAAGAAGAAGTGGTAGAGGCCGTTGGCGACGCCAAAAGCCCAGCTCGGATGGGAAAATGCCTGGTGCCCCAACTGCCGCAGTGCCTCCCCAACTGCGAAGCCTGCGCCAGGTGCATGCAACACAAAATGTCTAGTCACAGCCTACGGATATTGACCCAGGGTGTCAGCGCGCATTTGCTACCAAACTTAAACGGAAAATATGGCCATCATCAGATACCGACCAGCCATTCCTCCAACCAAACGCAGCCCCGAGTTAAACGAGTCGTGATTCCCTTCAATGTACGTGGCCACAGCACGTAGCCAGCCCTCAAGAAAATGAGCCATGGCGGTGTACAGCCAGCTGCTGCTTGGCAACTGCAAACTGAAACCGGACTGGGCTTAGCAAATGAGGCGACAGCTTTGCTTTCAGATGAACGAAGCGACCACGCACAACGTCTTTCACAAAGGCTCACGGGTGAAGCAAGCGAACGAAAAGGGCCCGTCCTCTCTCAGAGTGATAGTATTCGTCGAACAGGGACTTCTGCAACACCTCCTGGACGCACTTGGAACAGCTTCAGGCAAAACCAGGCACAGGAGCATTTGCCGTTGCAGACTTGACAATTCTCAGCTCAACACTGCGCCAAAATGAGACGGACGAAGAAAATTGGCCTTCAGCTGCCAGGAGAAGCTGAAAGGTCGTGATAGTTTCTGTTCGCCGGCAACTACCGCGCCAAACGACGAGGCCTTTGGCAAACACGAGGTTCCCCGACCTGATTCGCGAACTCATCCTCGGAAAGCTCCGGAGGAGCCCAGGCGGCAGCGCCGAGCCCAAACCTGGGAAAGAAAGGGCCAAGAACACGAAAGCCCTTATTCCAGGCATGTGATGCCAAAGGCCACATGCCGACCCAATAACAGGGCAATGCTGCTTACACTTGTGATCGGTGAAACTTGGCAAAGCAAATCCACTTTGACATCTTTAACGCAATCTCAACTGCGGTTTTGTTCGCAGGGGTGCGCTTGCCAGTTGCTGTGGGCCTTCCCCACCGGACAGGCCAGGATTGTCAACGCTCCTTCTGTGTTTCTTGGTCATCCGCAAGTTTGGGAAGGCCCATCGCCACACCCGCGAGTGTTGCAAATGTCGACAAGGCATGCCCCCAGGATGCTGTATAACAACACAGCACATTCGGGCCTTAATAGGGTCAGCGTCACAATTACTTGTATCGGGTGTACTCTTCCGATGTTAGAACGTCCCGTATCGTTTTTTCCAGGTTTCTCTCTCAGGTTTTGGGGTATCGATTGTTTGGACGTCCTGTATCGTTTTTCGAGAAACAAACCTAAACAACGGGTGCATGAAACACTCCTACATAAAGTAAATGACGGTCATTTTGAAGCCGATTCTGCCTTTTGCAAGCCTAGTACACTTCAGTCAAGCCTAGTACACGAAGAGCGAAGTACACTTCCGCAACTCCAGGTCGAAAATCGCAAACTCAGTGTAGCACACAAAGTAGCGGTAGTCGCAGCAGTAGAAGTAGCTCACGAGCAAGACTACGAGAAGCAGTAGAAGTAGCCGTTGCAATAGTAGTAGTAGTAGTAGTAGTCGTCGTCGTCGTCGTCGTCGTCGTCGTCGTCGTAGTCGTAGTAGTACTAGTAGTACTGGTGGTGGTGGTGGTGGTACTAGTAGTAGCAGTAGTTGTCGTAGTCGTAGTCGTAGTAGTAGTAATAGTAGTAGTAGTAGTAGTAGTAGTAGTAGTAGTAGTAGTAGTATTACTAAAAGTACTAGTAGTGGTGGTCGTGGTGGTGGTGGTGTAATAGTAGCAGTAGCAGCAGCAGTAGTACTCATACTGGTACCTGCACTACTGGTACAAGTAGTAGTGGCAGTTTCGGTTGTTATAGCACCAGTCAAAGTAAAAGTAAAAGCAATAACAACGGCACAAACAGCAATGGTAATCGTAATTGGTGAGGGCCAAACCAGGGCGTCGCTTCTACCATGGCTAGCCAGCGTTTTGCGCATGGTTGAAAGCCCATGGCTGCCGAAGACATGTCGGGCACAACGCTTGCTTTTGACGGCGGCACGTTCAGCCCCAACATTCAGAGCAATCGGCCAGCTCGTTAGAAATACTAGCAGCACCGCGGCCGCCAAAGAGGGTAGAGTAGAACAGTAACTACGCTGGTGCCACCACTGTCGACAGTTGATCCAGGGGCGCCCCTTCATGCCAAAGCCACGCAGCGGCCACAGCAGCCGCAGCTGCCATGGCTCCATGGGCCCAATTAGACCAGAGCGGCAGTCATATGATTCAGCCAATTAATTTCTGGTCTCCTTTGTGAAAAGTTGCCGATGCTAGACACACAGGTCAACATGTTGCTAAAAACTGCAGGGATGGCGGCGTTATAGCCTGTTGATTTGGCATCCCAAATTCAGGCGCAAGCAATTGCGAAAGCTTTATTTGGTAACCACGCATGTTGGTCAACTACGCAACTCTGAACACATGGAGATGCTATGAAGCTTGCATAAGTACAAGACAGCAGCGGTAATGAAGATGCACAACGTGCGCCATGGTGCAACTATGGCATCAAAATGCACCGCGCCCAACTTGACATCAGTGGCCTTTCCACCCAATTGCATACCAACCGTACCTTGCAAGCCCACGCCTCCGAAGAGGATAGCCACACTCTACCCAGCTTTCCTTTCGGCAATGCGGGCAACGGACGGGAAACACTCGGTCAACACCTCTACGCCCTGGATTTGCACTGGCCAAACGGCCAGGCACACAGTAGGCCATACCTCGAGTGCCTCTGGAAGATGCGTAGCGACTCCCTCGAACGCAAGGCAGTGCCAGCTTTGGACATCCACCCAGAATGAGAATGCAATCCTTGCCTGCAGGCAAAGGCAGGAAAAGAGTCTACTGGCCGATGCAATGCTCAGGTAGACTGCAATCGGGCCAATGTCCGGAGGCTGTGGGTTCAGAGAGCTAAGCGAGTATTGCTTGTTTGCTCATCAAGGAACTGTGAATATGGAGAGGTTTGCTTTACACTAGAAAAAGGGTCTGGCGCAGTTTGAGGGAGTGGCCCTTCGCGGTTTGGCGGCAGCAGTAAAATTGCGGGTCGACCGCGAGCAACCCAATGTAGGACTCAGTCGGACTCAGGCCTATCTTGCTTCGATTCTACTTGCTCCACTCACGCGGGACATAGAGCGTCTCGTCGCCAAGCCCCAGCCAATCCTGGATGCCAAAGCCGCGAATTGTTGGGCATGACGTGGAGGTCAACTCGCACAACATATCATTTTGCGTTGGCAGCAGGGAGGTCATGAAACAATGATGTTTGACCAGCCACCATGTGGCAACAACACGTCGTCACACCCGAACAATGCGTAGGAAATAGAAAGCGCAAATGCAGGCTCATAAAACGCTCGGGATTTTGTCTCTCTCTCTCTCTCGCTCTCCCTCCCTCCATTGCCAATCAGGGGCGAAAAACACAAAAACATAGGGTGATGACGGACGTCGGCCCCAAATCACCAACTCCCATAAAATTATGGGCGGTCCTCGTAGCCCTGCCACTCTTCCTTGTAGACAATGGATGGCAAAGCTGGCAGCCGCAAGGCTCGCAGGCCTGGGATTGTCGCCATCCCAATCTTCTGCAAAGATCCATCCGCCTGATAATATGCAGTCAGAATGTCATGCCAAAGTCTGACCCTTGGTTTCACTCTCGGTGGTAGGGCCGTGTTTTGATGCCGGGTGCTGTCTAGAGCTCAACACCGCCTGTTTCCTCAAGCCAGCAAAAGAAACACAAATCTAGGTGTAGCTATTCAGGTGGGGGCAACGTGCTAAGTTTGTGAGCTGGTCAGAACGGCATCGGAAAGGCAGGCGTTCCATCCGTCAGGCTATGGAGCCAAGCTTGAGCAGGGGGAGCCCTTTTGTCACAAATGACACATCACAAAATAACGCAAACATGCAAAAGGACCTCAACTCGCCATGGAATAGCTACGTCTTGTTCGACACTGGTTCTGCGTCCCATGATGCCCCATGGCCTTTGCTAAAAGCCCACTTGCTACCACCAGTGAGAACCAGAGTCCTCGTCAAACTTTGACGACACCTCCTCACTCGAAGGCCGTGCAACTGCCAGGCCACGAACGGCGTCCGCCTGCACAAAGGCGTACCACTGCTCTTGGCTTTTGAGGCCCAACAGGCGGGAGACCAGGCGGGCCTGCCGAAGCTCACGGAGAGTTTGAAAGCTGGGGACGGGGATTGCGTTTGGGACGTCTTGCTAGTTGAGCTCTAGAAAACGGCTTGGATGTGAGTTTTGTGGTTCCACCCCTGTAGAAGGTTAAAAGAGTACTAAAAGAGTACTAAAAAAGGACCAACAGGGGGAAGAACAGGTGAAATCCACAAAAGGCGCATCCAAAACGGTTTCTAGATGAGCTTGTTGCCAAAATTCCTGGTTTGACTCCGCCAAGTAACGTTGGGCTCTCCCCAATCTCCGTACCAAACACGCAAACGCAGCAGCTCCACTCAAAACGCGCGGCTATTTGCACATGGCAGCACATGCCTCCTGGTAGGGCAGGAGGACACCCAGGAAGTCGCCCCATCCCTGCCACTCCTCCGCATACATAGCCTGGGCTGAATCCAGCCAGGGAGAATTGAGTACCCGAAACTTCCAAAAACGTGCCTCCAACAACGATCAAGACCAGACCTGCACCCCCGACCGTCTTACTAGTTGCTAGGCTTTTCCGCAGGCAGGTCATGATTTTGCATGAGCCTATGTTCAAGCAGGCAGCTTCGGGATCACTCGGCACATAAGGCCCCAGGAACGGCGACTTCTTTCCCTCGGCGACCCACTCGTCCCACTCCTCACCTCAGTCAGAACGAAGGAGCCCGAACCCAAGCACCCAATGCACACGAATGCAAAGCTGTGGCTGTTTGGGCCCGTACTGCTGGCCCATAGAAGTGAGCCAGTCTTATTGATAAGCCTGGAGGGCAATCTAGTCCGAAATGGCCAAGCCCTACACAATCTTGCGGGCACCAACGTCGAACATGGATACCTGACTGACCAAGTCTCAGCACTTAACGTACCAAAGTTTGTGCATGCGGTCGCTTAGTGCCATAACCAAGACTAGCTTATGTTGCACCTTTCCTGGTCACAATCCTTAGGCTCACTTACCACCACTAAAATAAAGGGAGAGCCACCAAGGAAACACTGGCTGGGTGAGTACAACAGCCATAGACGTCCTTGCAAATCCTTGAGCGGATTGTTGGCTGAATTTCCGAGGACGGATGAACGCCCTTGAGTTCATCGCCCCAGGGCAATCCAACCCAATGGCACGGCAAAATGAACGTCACTTAAATTCCTGGCTTGCCATCCGTTCAACCACATCACCTCCTGGTCCTACTGTCAGCTTTCGGGCCTTGCAAGCCACGACCTAAAATGGCTGCCCAAACTAGGAGGAGTTAAGCTGAAACAGCTTCGATTTTGCCACCTAACCAACCCAACCCATCCCCAACCTGTGCCATGCATCCCGACCGGCCCACCCTCCAGGCCCCGGGCGGCTCGCGAAGCCGATGGCCTGCACACAGCGTCGCGCCTGGCGAGTCTATCACTGACGCAGACCGCCGAAACCTGGTGAGCCATCCGAAAAGCAAAGGGCGAAAACCAGCTCTGTTCCAACAATTTGCTGAACTTGTGGGAAGTTGAGCGCCCGACCTCATGGCAAAATACCCCAAATGCCCAAAACATGCATGACACACGACGCGGCCAAAGTCTCAAGGGTAGCAGTACGCAAGAACGAGCAGTCCTGCGCTTCAGCACAAACAACTGCATTGCATTTCGCGAGGCGCTGTTCGCGCACTTCGCTGCGACGCAACGACGCGAACTGCGCTGATGCGGCCAAAGCACAAAGGGATGAAGAGCGAAACACGGCGAGCACGAGCACAAATTGCACTGCATTTGGGCGTTTGGCCAAGCCAGCATTGCAAGCACAGTCGTTGCAAAGTTCTGCTAGTCGGGTCCCAAATTCGCTTGAGAATTGGGGGTGCTGGCTGCCTTAAAAACCGTTCAACGCGAAACTTCACAACGGGTGCTCAAAGAAGTCGGCTGTTCCGGAGCTATCTGGGTTGGCCTCCAAACGCACCGGACAGAGCTGTCCAACGTGAGGAAAGGCATGGCCGTTGCGGTATTGCCCAAAGTCGCATAGATAGGGTGGAAAACGTGAGACATACTAGTTGTGCGGACCCTTTGCGTAGAAAACATCCGTTGAGCTGACCGCTGGCGTAACCCCCATTTGGGCATGTCATTGGCCTCGTTTCGCAGGGCCACACCCTCCAACAACAAACTTTCGATGGTAGGGAACCTCAAAAATCAAAGCTTTGAGAAGGACGCAGTGGAAAGGCCCAAAAAGGGTCCTGGCTCTGGCTTGCTTAATCAGAGGAAGCCTTGCTGGCACCGGTTGGTCTGAAGGAATGTCCGGATCTCAAAGCCACTGTGATGGGGCCTACGGTAATTTCAATGTTTTTTTTTTTTGAACTGACACTTGATTGTTTGACGAGCTTGCAGCTTGCATATGTGCTGTGCTTTTGGTGTGGTTGGTCTTCCATCAAGCCCCGCCATGCCCTGCTATGAACCAACGCCCTGAACCAAACACAGGGACCAAGCGCATGTTTCAACATGGTGAAGCGCTTCCTTTTGGTTGGGTGCGTCAAGCGACAGGGAATAGACGAATAGGCTCTCTCACAAAACCATCGCACAATAGGGGTCCCCTTTTTTTCAGAAAGACCCAAGGTCGGCTTGGCTGCGGCTGAAATTTAAGTTAGGCACGATTAGACAGGTCGCACCTCATCAAAGGGCAGCACACGGCGGTATCTTTGCCGCCACCTGGGCCGCTGCCCGTAGCCTCAGCCGCCGTTTCTGGCTCTTGGCTCCCAAAGGGGGCATGGAAACGTTGGCTATTACTAGGTCCCAAAAGCTTTTTTGCATTTTCCGCCAAACGGATTCCTCAAGAGGGCGGAACTATGGACACAGCCGAGTCAGCTCAAAAGTCGCCTGACATCTCCACATGGGCCAACTGGGGCGAGCCGCTGGAATTGCAAGTCCGGTCCTGGTGGCTCGGGCCGTGCTCCATCCAGAGGGCAAAAACCAAATGAAAAGAACAGCCCCCCCCTCTGCAAAAAAGTTTCATGGGAGAGGTCAAACGTTTCCCCAGGACTCCCTCATTCACGGCCCATCACCTCCTAGTCCCCCAAAGACTCCGCCAAGTTGACCCAGGCCTGCCTCGGAACGGCTCCACTTTTGGGGCTGCGGATTAAGGCCAAAGACCACAAGCTTTCAGCAGGATTCTGTCACACCTTTGCCTGAAGCGCACTGAGATCATAGTTGGTGAAGCTGGAAAGCACCCAGTACCCCGTCGACCCACGGAAGCCTCAGCCGCGCGCTATTTCTCTTTTCCAAATTCCGGGCAGGTGCAGTTGGCTCAACCGACCTTGGCAGGGCCCTGGTCGGAAGGGTCAACACGGGCAGAAAGTTGGCCTGGAATTGCGGGACTGGGCTTTCCAATCTCCCACTTGCAGCTGAGCTACTTGGATTATTTGGCATGACTGGGCATTACTGGGCATTACTTGGCATTGCGTGGCTTGCCGAACCTGGCCTGGGGTGTTGGGCCCTCCGACCTGTTTTGCACCATATCGCTTCCCAGCCCGGCTGGGCAAAGAAAGCGATTCACTGAACAGGGCCTGCTTCTGGTCGCAGCTGGCCAAGGGCGAAACTGAACCCCGAAAGGTTGGAACATTGACTAGCACGACCCGCGTCTCGCTTTTGCATCAGCATGGGCCCCCCAAGAACAGGAAGCAAGTCCTAGCGGATACGGCTTTTTCGCAGACTTCAAAAAATTGGCAGCAAACCATCTCCGGCATAGAGGAACCAGTGCATCGCTACCGCTCCGCAGGATGGGGGGCCAGTAAGCTGGACGCATCGCGGCATCGGGCAGCCGGCGCCCGTTTTAAAAACATGCAAGTGCCCATGCCTCCTGTGGGCCGGGTCGTGCCGCCTTTGTCCATAACATAAGACTGAGCCTCCACTGAAGTTGCGGCAGTGCTCAAAACCGCCCTCACTGACCCTCACATGCACAACTGCCGCAACGTCGTAGTGGCCTTAGGCCAGGCTTGCCGCCCTTCCGGCAAGCCGACATTTTCTTGAAACGGTAAAATGCGTACTGCTTCTCGCTGTTTGGCAACCTCTTGCCATCCGGGCTGGGGGGCGGTGAGGAGCACGCCAAGCCCCACACAGCACCCAGCCGACTCTGTTGCTACGGCCTCCTGGGCAAACTGTTTTGTACCAGGCGCCTTCAAAGACCAAGGCAAACACCCGAGGCTGACTTACCACTCACTGACCACCTGGATTAACTCACTGGACGTTTCATGATTGCCCAAAGATTGGCAACGTGCATTGCAGCCGCGGGTTTCTCCCTGACCCTTTTGGAGGGCTGTATATACATCTACTGACAAAGCAAAGGCCTCAGTCCCCAACAAATCTATGCCGAAGAGCGCAATCTCAAATGGGGGATGCAAGGCAAAGCGGTGGAAATCCTGCATTCCTCGCTCGTGATTCTGCTTCTTAGCTGCCACGTCTGGACTTAGCAGGAGGTTTTCCCGCTCTGGCGCTATCCATCGGCACAAACCCTTCCTTCAAGCTACATGCCAGCGCCCAAGAACCCCTTCTCAAACCATATCCCTTAGTGCTTCTCGCCAACATGGGAAGTTGCGTTGTCCCGCGTGGTGAATCAAAGCGAGGCCCAATTCTTCAAGCAATCATCTATACATTCAGCTCAGTCAGCTCTCCGTGCTGGTTGTTGAAGGCATCAATAGCAGCCGCGAGCTCCAGCGAAGGTGCCGACGCCTGATGGGACAGTGCCATGCTGGAGCCCTGGATGAATCAACGCAAAGCTGCAAATATCAATCGCTGCCACAAGTCGACCCGTCATGAGTGTTACAAGCCCCCATGCAATAGGCTGTTGTGGAATTGCAACAACTTCCTGTGGGAGGGCTTGCTGCCTGGAATTGACTCCTTGCCTTGACTCCGACCAGTTAACCGTTCGGCCATTGGGCTTAACGCTGCAAACTGTTTCATGTCCGGCAATTGGGCCAATGCCAGACCGAGAAGCACCCTTGGAAGGCGTGACATGCCGAGCAAATGCAGCCCCTCTTTCCAGACTCCGGCCGTGTAGCGAAGACATCCCATCATGGGTAAAACTTTTAACAAAGGAAGGGGCATCCCAGCACCGCTGTGTGACCAAAAATACATGGGAGCCCTCACGTCCGAAGGCCTGAGCCTTCACGGCACAGGCGCTGGTCTCGGTGATCACCTGATGCAGTTTCTCGGCGCAGGAGCGGAAGAGGCTGGTTTCGAAGCTGTCGAGCACCACTTGGGGATCCTTCGGTTCAGAATCATGGGCGAAGCGGCAAAGTGCCAGGGACTCGGCGACAGGCGACAAGTTGAAGCTGAGAAACAAAGCTGTAACTATTAGTTGAAGATCCTTTGATGGGGGCTGCTTGAGTCGTCCCACCCTGCCAAACAGGGACATCAGTCACCGGGACCTCTTTTTTGGGAAAGTCGCTGGGTGGGGCTTGGACTTTAATTTAGTATTGCAAATTCAAAAATGTTGGTACAGCTAGGAGGTCACAACAGGAAGCCTGCACTGTCTTGGGGACTTTTTGTGGTGGGGGGGGGGAGAAGAGGAAAACATATTAAAGCGAACCTCGAAAGTCACAGAATTCTGAGTTAGGAACAATCTTGCTACAATAGCGAGCCCGCGATTTAAAGCAGCCCTAACATTAGGTATCAAGCATCATTCAGTGTGTTGATGCCTGGCCTTTCGTGATTCCCTGCTGTTCTAAAGCTTGGTCATGCCGACCCTTTCCGACGCCAGAATAATATGTTGCAAGCTTTGGCCCTGGAAAGACGGACCGCAATCCCCTCTCGGCACAAGGTGTTTTTGCCTGCAATCCGTCAACGCATGGCACTGTGCACAAATTGCATGCATAAACATGCCCCGCTCAGCCAATAAAGTCCGCTTGGGTCAAAATGCAGAAGGCCCAGCCACCCTCGACCAATCCGTGACCTTTCAATGGTGCAACCGTTTGACCCACCCGTGGCTTAAGCTGCAGTGCAGGCACCCAACTTCGGGGGCACTAGCTATAGCAATGAACCAATTGCGCACCACCAGTTTGTGCTACAAAGCCGTGCCCAACCTCAGCATAGCCATTTTGCATCAAAGGCTCTGACAGTGCGCTCAGCGCTTGGCTCATGTATTGCTGTGCCTGCAGGGTGGCTGCGGTGCATGCTGCTCTTCAATTTTCCAGTGGTGTTGCACTCCCGGGGGGGGGGGGGGGAAGTGCTGATCCAAGCGGTGGTCAATCCAAAGCGTGGGGGGAGGCGAAGCAAGGATCGCACATTCCCTCGCTGGATCAACAGCATGTCCACAAGCAAAACCCATCCTTGAACCGTTGCTTCCCGTCGGGCAGGCAAAGTCCAACAAAAAAGAGACGTCAGCCATTTTCATTATAAGTGCCCGCCAGTGTCACTTGCCTGATCCTCATCATGGGCTTTCCAGCGAGCCATGCCCAGGTCGGCAAGATCAGAGGCTAAAGTGACCTTGGGATGGTGCGCGCTCTCAACTCAATTTGTGCAATGCCATGCGCTCTGCGTCTTGTAATCCCTGTGCTGGGCCGACTGCTTCACAGGGCAGAGCGCGACATAAGCTTGGCTGGAGGAGAGACCCAGCAGCACGCCCACACATGCTGGTGGCCGAACAGAACAATCGGGCACTCAATGTCAGCTGACGCCCCGCCCCACTGCCCCATGCCAAGTTGCAGCTACCTCACGCTGGCAGTGGTATGAAAAGCCAGGGCAGGCGGCCTATGAGCGTCTGGGCGCTGGCCCAATCAAGTTGCAAGTTTGATCCAAAAGGATGCCGAGGGATTCATGATAGCCACCTAACCCCACCCAAGCATTGATCAAGCTCAAGTAGCCCTTTCTTTCGGACCACATGCTGAGGTCTTCCAAGAAAGGGTCGCTGATTTCCAGTGGCCTCTGATGCCTTGATGGCCGCCGCGAGTGCTCGGGCGCAGCCAATGGCGCGAATAAGCAAATCCTCCTCGTCCACCTGAAGGCGATCTGCCCCAGCGACCCAAACGTGCATGGACAAAAGGCACACAATGCATGATCCACCGGGGTTGGTCACTGCTCACCTACTAAAAATTGGGAGAGTGGGAAAATCGTGAAAGCAGCATTCAGAATCAAACACAAGCAAACGAGCAAGAGCAAAGTATTCATTCGAAAATGGCCAGGTCCAGCAACGTTGAAACGCACCTGCGAAAACGAACGGACGCACGCAAGCACGCAAGCTAAAGGCGGTGTTGATGGCAAGCTGTTTGCAAGTGGAACGGCTTCTCCTTACAGTTTGATCGCTCACTGTTGTGAACTTGACTTACGCAGCCTACCCAACAAGAGAGTCAAGCCAACACGCGGATGACGCTGGTGCACGGTTGAAGCTGGCATGTCTGCATGGCAAACGCAAACTGGGAGAAAGGCAAAAGCAAACTAGGGGCCCTCAGCATCTCCCATACTCCATGCGCGGGTCTACGCCTTCACAATTTCCTGTCCATGGTACGCACATGGCGTTCAATGCCCAGCCTTTAGAGGGAACAAAACATAATCAGTGGCTGGCACTTCCAAACAGGTCTGCACTGCGTCCCACACGCCCGTCCCCACGCCTGGGGCAGTCCAACTGCCGCAAGGTGCTGGGCGTAACTTCGGGCCTCCTTGAGGTCCCCATTGCACACCGACACCATCTTTCCGCGGATGCAGATGGTCTGATAGCCTCAAACACACCATTCCCCTAGCACCTGCCATGGCGTGGCATTTGCCAAGGTGACTATTAAAAGGATGATCAAAGCAGAACAGAGGGGCCCAGAGTTCAAAATTGAATTACGCCTGCCTTGGCGCGCAAGACGGCTTTTCGGTCCTCGAACACTTGTTGTGTTTGAGGGTCCATTGGAATGCACCATGAGCATTTAGGTCATTAACGACGCATAAAAAGCCGCGTGATCTGAGTTGATGGAGCTTGCACTGCGCCGACTGTCCGGAAAACACTGCTGGTTCCAACCAGCTGCCCTCTAGCAAAATCTCTCCCAAAGTAACTTCGAATTGGGCCCAGTCATGCACAAATTGTTGTTCGCTTCACTTTTTGCCCACCACTGAATCAATGACGTTTCACCTACATGGGAATGAGATTGCCGGGTGGCGGATCCAAAAGAGCTCCTCACGGTGAAGGTGGATGAGGAGCTTGAAGGCTTCCTTCTTCGTCTCTTCATCCTGACACAAAAGGCCTTCATAGCTGGGTGCCGCTTGTAAAGCCATGCAGGGTCTGGAAATTGGACACAACTCCCTGTCCTTGATGGTTTCTTTCAGGGTGCATCTGCCATGATTTGCGGTTCGTCCGGTTCGTCACACAGCAGAAAACCAGAACATGGACCGGTGCCCCCAATATTCAAACCCTACAGAGCCAATGCTAACCAATACTAAACTCATGATTTCTCCCACCGACTCGTCCAGTCTTATTAGGGACCCCCTGCCATCAGTCAACTTTTTGTGCCCCGAAAAGAAGGAGTCTTTCGGAGACAACAAAGCAGATTGGACACCCCCCCTTAGACCCATATAATAACTTGTCTTTTTCCGGTGGATTTTGTATTGGGGGCGAGGTGCGGATGGGGGGGGGGCAAACGCGTTTGGAGCGCTGACAGATATCCCAACGAAATGGATCGGACGTGAAGCGCTGGTTTCAGCCAGCTGCGCAAATAGCATCCGAAAAGGCAACCAGCGTCTCAAAGGCATCCCCAGAAGAAAACAAATCGTGTCAGCTTGATGGAATCTGAGCGTACTTGCTGTCATGTTGGCATTCGCTCCTGCACACCGTCCAGCAAGGCAAAGACCTCCGAGATGTCCTGGAGATCGCACCAGGAGCCAGCGCGGCGGGATTTGTGGCAATGACAGGGGGGCTGGGAATATGAACATGTCTGTATTGTTTCTGTGGGAGCGTGCGTTTCGAAGGATGGCTTCTAGCGCATGTCGGGAGGCAACCAATCATTTGTAGGAGCAAACCCCGTCCCCACCCCCGCCACACCCCATTTCGAACAAGCCACATGCGAAAGACAAGCTCTGAAAAAGACCACTCGTAGAACAAACAAATAGCTGTTTTGAACAGACCCATCCCCCCCCTGCAGAAGATGTTGCTCAAACGCAAAATGAATGACTCATGCCAAGGATGACAAGAGGGTGGCTAAGTTTTGCAATGGCGTGGCAACGGCGTAAGCTGCCTGCCACCAAACCGTGTGCCGCACACCCTTAGAACCAACCGCACTCCCCGGCAAATAGGACAAGTATGAGGAATGGGCAGAAAGCGTTTCACGAGTGAAAACGTCCACCACAGTCCTCAGAGACAGCCCTCTCTCAGAATAGGGGGCCTCTCCATTCATTGCGTCCCTTGCTTGTCGCCTTCCCAGAGCCACCAGGAGACAGAGTTGCCAATGTTTCCCCGTAAAGCAATCACTGCGCGGGCTGGAAAGGAATTCGCTGTGCTGTTCCAAGGCAGCATTGCATTGGCATCCGTGTACTGGGTGCAGTGAAGTGACATCCTCAAGTTGACACTCCCAATGGTGGACCCTCATGACGACTTCAAGGGACCGAGGCGTAAGCCGAAAGCGTCTCAGGCCTCACAAAACGGCGCTCAAACCGTCCTGCAGCATCTGTTGCTTCAGGTCCTCTGGCCAGGGCTCATGGCGTTCCACCACCAGCAGCTTTCCCTTCTCCGCGTTCTGCTGCACCAGCCTCGGAGTTCGGAGTGGCCGATGCCGGTCTGGCAGCTGGCTGGGCTCTTTGTTTGGCACAGACAGAATCCGGCAGACTTCTCTCAGCCTAGCGCAGGCATGATGTCCGTTTGGGTCTAAGGGTTTTTGTATTTGACCCTGGGAATACACCCACTGGGTGTTGACCCCATTTAGGCACATGTCCGGATAAAACCGTGCTATTTTGAACCATTCTGGGTCATTTCCCAAGGGTGTAATCCCGGGGTGTAATACAGAAAACCCTCAGATTGGGAGGGCAGCAATCCCTTCCCGTGATAGAATCTTTCTTCGGGCGAAACAATAGACGTGGACAGGGTCCGAGGAAGGGTGCCGCTGTCCTCGCTACCCACGGTGTTTGGAGCCCCTTCAAAAGCCGGGGGAGGGGGGGAGGAAACTCAAACCGATCACAAATTGGCGGGGGAAGATCAACCGAAGCCATGGAAAAGAAGCCGTGCCAAGGCTCTGCTCGGCCATGTCCTTCTTTAGGCTGGCCTTCAGCTCGTCTGGCAGGTCGTCGCGGTGTCGGAGCTTGGCGGCGAACTCAAAGAAGGCGCGGGGGTCCTTCGTCCTCCGGTCGAGCCGGCGCTCGGCGCAGCTCCATGTGTAACATGCGAACAGAAACCCGCAGCCATGCCGCAGTGGGCTCCCTTGCTCTTGGAGTGAACCAGAAACTGCATCCAAATAGGGGGCGCAGTCATGGAATGCTTTCGGAAGGAGCAAACTCGGGCACAATGAAGCTAAGTTACTCAGTTGAAATGCGAAAGCAGGTGCCGCCTGTTCAGGTATTGATATGAAGGAAAAGGTTGGCCCTGCGGGGCCAAGTAGCAAGCACAAATTCTGACCAATTGACATGTTCTGCATTTGTTTAGCACCCATGTCGGGCCCTGAAACACTGAACGGGCAGCAGAAGCTAACCACTGCCTCGTAATATAATAAGGGTCCCCCCTAAAACAATACCAAATGCAATCCAAAAAAGCCCGAATTCCGTCACCCCCAAACTAGAGATAACACGTGCTAAGACGTGACTAAACCACTTAAAAACTACCATAATGTCCCACCAGCTCTAACCCCAGTATTAGGGGGCGTCTGAAGCCAGTTCCAAAGCAAGACCACAAACTATCAAACAGCAAAACAAGTGCATCATTGAACTTATTTGAATCCCTGACTTGTACTTCAAAATGCATCCTACACGGCATGTTTCCTTTTGCTGGACCTACCTGCGTTTCAAAGGCACTCAGTTCTTTACTCTCGGGGGCCCGCGTTCTATTTTTTGCGGAAGGGTTTACTGCGGTTATGCCGCGAATAGGGAATAGCTCCGATGAACCAAAGTCCCTACTTCCTCATGGAGGGGGCAAAGAGCCCTCCAGTTCCTTGCATCGATCCAGTTTCCATGGAACCATTGTAGTTCCAGAGGCCACCCCGATGCCATGGGCATGCTTCCAGCGCTTTCCACAGAACATACCCGACGCGTCTCGTTGTGTTTGGGCGCAATTAAGCACATGTGTCCGTAGTATATTATAGTATATTGAGCAGTGCTTGAGCAATGACGTCTGATCTGCGTGCTCCCAACAGGCTGGTCGCGGACCAGCAGTCGTGCAAACGGACAGGTGTGCGAGTGCGCAGACATGTGCGTGCGTCCGCGGGCGTGTGGTTGCCTGGGCGTGTAGTCGCGTAAGCGTGCAGGCACGTGAGGTAAACCGGTGTTGCCAAACTTGTTTGCGTACGAATATAAACTCATAAAGATGAATTTTGGCGCCGAGAAAACTCTGGGCCCTGCCTCTGTTGGAAGAGCGCCTCGTAGGCCTCGCCCTCCACTTGGCTCCATGCCGTCAAGGCAGCCCGGTTCCGAGTGGAGACCAGTTGCATCCGCAGCAGTTTCAAAGCGGGCACGCAGCCTGGGCCGGCTTTCGGCTCTTGGCATTCGGCTTTTGGCCGGCCAACAAACCCCTTCGCTGCAAATGGACAGAAGGCCAAACGGATCCGTTTGATGGGCTAGGTCCTCTAGTAAAGAGGTTAGAATAAGGGTACCCTTTTTTCTGTAGTCTATTCTGGTAGGGCACCCTCCCCCAAAAAAGGGTAAAAGGGCAATACTGGTGGACGTAGTGGGAGCTTGCGGTTCTATGCCGAGCTTCAGATGTCTAAATCCAGCACTGTTTGGGCCTTGACTGGCAGGTGGGGAGCAAACAGCAATACCTAGAGACGATGCATGCCCTCAGCACATTCGGCAAAAGCCCTTGCCGGGGAGTGATTCAGCCCTTCCAAAAAGCCCAAATTGAAGCCTAAACCATTCTGTTAAAAGGAGGGCTCGCTCCCAAGCTGCACTCTGGCGATCACTCACTGCACTGGCAGGTCCAGTTGAAAACTCGAGTGTTGGATCATCATGAGCCAGGGGCAAGTCCAAGTTGTTGCAATTCCTGTAGGTTGAGTTGGCTCCTAAACCGCCCCTCCCCAACATCCCCATCGCATGGGTTGCCCCAAGGGGCGGTGCACGTATTTCTGCAGCGTGGGACCTACGAGGTGAACGAGGCCTGCCATGGCCACCGGATTCGATGCTTCCGGAAACGGTCCGCCGGGCGTCGGGTCCGTACTGTCGGGGCGGTCCCTTCCTTGCGTTCAGCCGCCTGAGAGCCAAAACGCAGATCGGGATGGCAGGACTCATTCTCCATCTCTTCACCTACTCCGCCTGCTGACACACCGTGGCTTTTGCCCTTCCATGACGCGTTTGATGATTCTGCTGGCTTCCTCGGAGTCGTGAGGTTCAACTCTTCAACAAGTTATCTGCTGTGGTCCAGAATAAGCCAAGCGAAGCCAAATCCCATAACCTGCTCAAGAACAACAAATCAAACAAAGCTGAAATTCATCATTCCCGTCTAAGCCTGTATCAAGCACGTGCCCAAACTGTAACCAGCCGCCTCCCCTTCCTCACGTGTGACTTTTGCGAAAGAATGAACCCAGTGATGCCCAGCCTCTTCCCCTCCTTCCCCCGTCCCCTCCGCCCGCAAAGTCCTCGGTGGATCCTGCATGCTGGACGGAGTGCTGCGCGCTCCTGAGGCCACGTCTCCCACATGCGTCGGGCTGCCTAGGGGGGATGCTGCTGTGCTACTCTCGGGCCAAGCCCGTGCACTTTTCGCGTGCTGTACTAGTGTCAGTTGGAAGCCAGAAAGAAACCGCCTGCGATACGACATAGGCCCTGGGCGGCAACATGATTAATACACCAAGTCTTTCCGCGCCCCGCTCCTGCGAGGCATGTGTTGAAGTCCACCTGAGACGTTCAAAGACTTGAATCAAATTCCAGCGACCCTTGCTAGAGCAAAAATTGATTGCCGCAGCCATGGGCCACGGCAGCACATGCTTCAAAGCTTCCAGGTGCGTGCTTTCTCACCCTGGGCATGAGTTGGGGCGGAACCTGGGACAGCCCTGATGGCCATGACCGATGGAATCTCCATGGCACATACATGGACCCGGGGAGAATCACGCGGACCCCCGAATTGCTAGCCACGTTCGCCCAAACAGCTCGTTCGTAGGAAGCCCTGTAATGTTGGAGGGATCAATCAAGTCTGCTTCAGGAACACTGGTCATCGTGCCTTGTCAGCGTGAAGCCAACTTCCTCCATGACCGTGCAATGATTTGCATCTTCCTAAGGCGGGGGCCCTTTGCAAAGTAAGCTGCCACGGCGAAGCGTGTCATGTTAGCAGGAATTCAACGCACACGCCTGCACCCTTCCTTTTGGGAACGTGAAGTATGGCCTCTCAGATCTTATGAACACTTCAAAGCAAACTGCGGCTCCAATGCAAGGTGCCCCACTGATAACCCTCGAGCTCGCAAACAAGAAGCCTACCTCCGACTGCCTTGGAATCTTCTCACATCACACTTGCAACCCTTGGAATGGAGCGGTGGCAGGCCCGTTCCACTGGTGCCAAGAGGCAAAAGCACGCCCCCAGCAGCCCCAGCAGCCCCAGCAGCCCCAGCACGGCCAGGGCCAGCCCCACGCGTCGGCGCGCCATGGCCGGAAAGTGCAGGGAGGGGGCTGGGCCCCAACGCAACCCCACCACGCTCAGTCACTTCAGTGGAGGGGCTACTGCCGGGAAATGGACAATGACAAGCCATGGATGCTAGGCGGAGTTCTGTAGGTAAAAAGATGATGCGCAAGAAACCTTCTACACCTTCTATGCGTCTGAGGATGTCCCTGCAAAGATTAACAGAAAGTGCACTCAAACTCGAATTATTATCCAGCACTGGGCTACAAGCGTTGGAACCTGGAAACTCGAAAGCATTAGACGGGTCGGGTTGACATGTGAAACTTTAGGAGAGGCAGGCTTTGGCGAGGAAGATGCTGTTTCTATCCGTGTTCAATCTGGCACTTCTGGCAGCGCAAATGCATGGGCCACCTGGTAAATTCCAGTCGCACAACATGCAACATAATGCGTTCCCCTAGGCTGGTGGGAAACCCTCACTCCTGGCCAAACCAAACACGGTAATTGATCGAATTTTAGCCACCCGCCGCGCAAGGCTGTCTGACGTGCCTGAATCAAGGCACTTCTAGAAGAAGTTTCATGGTTTCGATGAATAAAACGCCGCAGGAATGCGTCATGGTCCAGGTCGGCTGCTCACAAACTTTGTGAGCATCCGTCAGGATCAGAATGCCGCCTGACAGGTTCTCCGGCGGTCGCAATTCCTGACCCTCCAAATGCCAATTTTGACCTTTTGGACCATTTTGAGCCCTTTCACTCCGGACCATTGCCCACACGGCGAGAAGCATCTAGTGTAGAGTCGAGTGAGGCAAGCAAAGAACATCTGAGAATAACACCAAGCGCATAATCTAATTAAGTTGCAGAGTTGCTTGCCTGGACTTTCTGCTTTGTTTCGCGTGCCTTTGGACTGAACTCCTCCTCCAGCTGCATCAGCCCCGGCGCGGGCGAGCCGGCATAGGTGACGATGTGCACGTCCAAGTCCGCGT